AACCCCTACTGTCAAGTAGATGCGAGATACGGCGAAGTGCTGTAAGCTTCCTGGCTGCCTTGTTTGCAAGATTTACAACATGGTTCTTCATGGTTAGTTTGGAGTCAAATTTCACCCCAAGGATATCAACTTCTTCTCCAGGTGCCAACACCCTCCCATTCATCCTTACTACTGCACCAGCATTACCATCATGGTGCCTAGAGACGATCATCATTTGCGTTTTCTCAGGTGCAAATGTTACTTGCCATCTGTTTCCCCAAGCTGATATAGCTCTCAGCTGGTGATTGATGTAGCTTAGAGCAGCTGGCATTTCTTCTCTTGGATAAGTGAATGTCAGTGTGCAGTCATCTGCATATGCATGTGATTCTGGGATTAGATGAAGAAGGTCGTTGAAGTAGACATTCCATAACAGTGGTCCCAGCAGCTTCCTTGTGGAACACTTGCCCCAATAGGATGTCTTGCTGATTCCGTTCCATTGAGAACTACACTTAGAGATCTACCCTGAAGGTAATCGCTGAGGAGACATAGCGTAGGGCCTGCAATTCCCAGTGCTTGAAGTTTTGCTAAGAGGCCCTGGTGCTACACCCGGTCGAAAGCGCCAGCGATGTCCAGTGCTACCACACAGCTGACTTTGGATTCATCCAGTGGCTGGTGCCACTTAGTGGAGAGGTTTAACAACAGATCAGCAGCAGAGTAACCTTTCCTGAAGCCATATTGACGATCACAAAGTAGCGAGTGATAGTCAAAAAACTCTGTCATTTGTCTTGAGATTATTGTCTCGAGGATCTTACCAGTGATTGACAGGAGTAACACTGGTCTATAGTTGCTGATTTCTGCTCTGCTCTTCTTTTTGTGAACAGGGACTACATTTGCCTCTTTCCATAGAGAGGGCCATTTACACTGTACTAGGCAGTGCTGAAAGATGCGAGTTAGAGGTGCTGCTAGCTGGTCTGCACATCTTCTCAGCAATCTTGGGCTCAACTTGTCTGGGCCCACAGCCTTTCTTGGTCAAGCGATTTAAGAAGGAAATGCACCTCCTCCTGCCTTATTGTCACCACTGACAGTTTTGACACAGTTCTTGCAGCTAGCCAAGGAGGGTCCCTTGCTGGATCAGGAACTTGCATTTTGGTAGCAAAGTGTTCAGCAAAGAGGTCCGCCTTCTCTTGACTACTAGTAGAGGTGGTCCCATCCTGTCGATTTAGAGGTGGAATGAGTTCATCAGGCAGATAACCTTGTCTGTCCTTGACCAGGGACCACCAGGTTTTGGAGTCTACCCTACCTAATGCTAGCTTTCTTTTAGTGTCCACCTCCCATTTAGCAATGGCCCACTTTATTATTATTAAAGATTAGCCGGTATTCTCCCGGCCCGGGCCTTTTCCAAGTGGTGGCCCGGCCTTGGCTCCCTCTTTAGGGAGTGTCTGAGACCTAAGTCTCCCATGGGAGGAGGGACAAGTACCTCCTCATCTTTGGTACCAACTGTCCCCAGGCCACTTTTGAACATCACCCATATGTCTACAGGCTTGCCTGTGCAAGTTCCTGTTATAGGTGGTAGGATGTCTCTTATACCTTCGCCATGCTTTGTACTTAGCAGTAGCAGCCTCTCTACAACGAAAGCCAAACCAAGGCTGATCCGTAGGCTTTGTCACATATTGCCGGTGAGGATTGTGTTCTTGTTGTAGATTAAGGATGTGTCCAGTGAAGGCTTTCACTTGGTTGTCAACATCCCCTTGGAGAAGAGCATTCCAATCGGTGGTGGCAAGCTCAGAGCGAAGGGCTGGCCAATTACCTCTTTCCCATAGCCAGGTTGTGCGTGTGGACTCCTCGCCTCGTTCTGTTGGGATCTTAAGTGTCGTAAAAAACAGCCTTGTGGTCAGACGATCCAACGTAGCCGAGGGGTTGACAAGTGACTATGCCTTCTGCCAGATCACTCACTACTGGGTCAAGGGAGGAGCCAGAGATGTGAGTAGGGAAATCAACAAAGTTTCTCATGTCAAACACTGCAAGAAGGTCATCAAAGTCCCTCTGTATAAGGTGCTGGTTGAGGTCGCCAACAATTATGATACGTTAACAGTTGTGTTGTAGCAGAAGAGAGTCAATATTTTCCATTAGGAAGTTGATGGGATCTGCATGCTGCCACTGAGGTCTGTACATTGCACATGCTAGTACAGAGGTACTAGTGTTTATGCAGAGCTTGAAGAACATCATTTCAAGATGTATAGGGATGGCAACATCAATGTGCTGGGCATGAACACTTTTAGAGAAGCACACAGCAACACCTCCTCCTTGTCCTTGCCTGTTTCTTCTCATCCATGAGGTGTAGTCAGCAATTCTCGCAAAATTTTCTGGAGTCCTGTCATCCAAAAATGTTTCAACAACAGCTATCATGTCGGGATGTCGAGTGTTCACAAAACTGTGTGTGAGCTCTCCAACAATAGTAATGAAACCTCTAATGTTGGCCGACAGGATGCTGATAGACTGGCTCCTCATGATGATGTGGTCAGCTTGAGGTGGTGGGTGTGTAGGGCATGTAAGGTACCTGCCCTTGAGAGAGGTAGGGTACTGAGGCAGCTGCAGGGATGTAGGTCTGTGGTCTTGTATAAGGCACAATACCACCTGCTGGACTGGGATAGGAGTAGCTGAGTGGGTGACGTGTGAGTGTGTTCACCAATTCAGAGATCATGCTGGTTTATTCTGAGAATAGGTCTCTAAACAGGTGGTCCTGTCTGTCAAGTTCCTTTTTCTTCCGAAACTGGTCCTCCTGATGTCCTTTCTTGTAGCAGTAATTACACCTGGTATCTTGCAGGCAGTTGCTGGCTGTGTGCCCCTTCCGGTGACAGCGAGAGCACAGCCTAGGTGCCTGGGAGGGTGGACTATGATTTGTTGCACCTCCTGTGTTTTGCAGATTTGTCCTCAGATTCTGCCGCTGGAACTGTGTTAGTGGAGGGTGAGACGACTGTAGATGTCTTCCTCCGCCACGTCCTCTGCCCTGTCCTCTACCAGTTCTGACAGATGTGTCCCTGCTGTTCGTACTTTGGCGCAGTAGGTGATCAGGTGAAGTGATAGTTCCCTGATTATTAACTGCACCAATCTCTTGTGGAGAAACTCCTGACTCAGAACTTGCTGATAAAGCACTGCTGCCAGATTCTGGAATAGTGTTGGCAGGTGTGCTGACAGGTGTAGGATCAGAGATGGTATGTGCACTGTCAAGTGGACTGGCAGTGGCTGAAGCAGAGATGTCAGGTGTAGGAGAATTAACAGATCCAAGGTTTCCTTCGTTGCTGGGAAGAGGATTTGTTCCCTCTGTGGTGGTCAGAGGAATTGTGTTAGAATTCCCAAAGGTAGTGTTTTGAACTCTGTCAGTCTGTGGGACCTTAGCGATGACAGAATTCCACCAGTTATTTACCCCTGAGTTAAGCTCAGTGTGGGATTTCCAGTCTTTGTCAATAGTGTCACTTGATGTAGGCTTGCACTGACCTTCTACAATAGCTTGGAGGTTATCTAATGATTTGAGGAGCTCATGAAGTGCTTCCCTGTGATGGATTAGCTTAGCTGCAACTTTACAACACACCCCAAGAGGGCAGTCTTGATCTTTGGACAGAAGTCCCTGAGGTAGGACTTCTGAACCTTCCTCCTGTAGCTCCAGGCTCGTATCCACATATACCACAGGATTATGGATATCCTTCAATTTTCTGAAATTTTCAACCTGGCTGCAACAAAATTATTCTTCTGGAATGCAGCTTCATTTTTGACCATCAACCAAATCCTCACTTGATGACAACCAGTGAAGGTGAGTCTCAAAGGCTTGGTCAGGATTGGGTTGAAATATAGTTTTGATGTTTCTTATGTTTGTATTCTCATATAACTGCAAATCCTCACAAATATTTTGGTTCAGTTCTTCAACAGATTGATTCTGACTTGTGGATCCTTCCTTGTCATACCCTGAAGGGCTGCTGTCACTGTTTACCTGTGATCTATCTTTACAAGCTTCACGATACATTTTTTAACAAGCTCTTTGTTGTGAAACTGACTACAATTATGAGTCGTTTACACTGATAATCTCTTGCACTCTTCTACAACTATCTGTTTGTGTCCAGTATTTTGTCTTGGTTAAAATATGAAAAATCAAAATCTTCTGAATAAGCTTGATAAATGACTCTCTCCTAGCACAATCTCTCATTCTCAGCCTCAGTTGGCACTTTCAAAATATTCTTCTCTTTCAACGCACCGGGAGTATCCCACCGAGGCGGGGCGGCCCAGAAAGAAAAACAAAAGTTTTCTTTTTAACTTTAGTAATGTATATAGGAGAAGGGGTTACTAGCCCCTTGCTCCCTGCATTTTAGTCGACTCTTACGACATGCATGGCTTACGGAGGGAGAATTCTGTTCTACTTCCCCATGGAGATAAGAGGAAATAAACCAGAACAGGAACTAGTAAGAAAATAAGTAAACAGAGGGGTGTGTATATATATGCTTGTACAGGCAAGTGTAGTGTGACCTAAGTGGAAGTAGAATTAGCAAGATGTGCCTGAAATCTTGCATGTTTATGAGACAGAAAAAAGACACCAGCAATCCTACCATCATGTAAAACAATTACAGGTTTCCATTTTACACTCACTTGGCAGGATGGTAGTACCTCCCTGGGCAGCAGTTGCTGTCTACCAACCTACTAGTACCTGGTTACTGGTTACTGTCCTTATACTGTTTCTGACTGGTTGCTCTCCTTGTAGTGTTTCTGACTGGTTACTGTCCTTGTAGTATTTCTGACTGGTTACTGCCCTTGTAGTGTTTCTGACTGGTTACTGCCCTAGTAGTGTTTCTGACTGGTTACTGTCCTTGTAGTGTTATGAATGTTAACTGTACTTGGAGGTAGGAAGTGCAGTGACTGTAAATCTGTGTACTTGTAGCAAGGTAATTGTTATATCTGTGTACTTGTAGCAAGGTAATTCCTTATAGTGCTTTCTTGTAGAGGCTAAAATAATTCACTCCTCATTCCATTGGCAGATTGACGAAGGCTGCAAAGCATCGGACCTGAACATCAATCCACCAACGACAGAGTTACCGCCCAAGCCCTGGTGGGACCTGGAGGCGACCGTTCCTTGCTGGTGGGCGTTTACAAGCATGGCTACGAGCGCTACAATGTCATGAGGAACGACCCAGCACTCTGCTTCCTGAGCCGCTGTGGACCCCCTGACAAGGCCGCACTTATGGCCGAGATGAACACAACCATGTAAGTTGATGCAGCTTTGAGCTGTTGTCCAACGTATTTGATGAAAGTTTAATTACAATACATTTTTAACTATTGCTGTCGTGCTGTGACAGGCTGATCCAGAGATGAGAACACATTAACCATCACTTACACCCATTCCACCTCTGCAACTCCTCCTCGCCTCTATATTGTACCTTGGATCAACTCGAATCACATTATAATTTCTACACTTAGAATTATTTGTATAATAATCACACCAGACATCAAACTTGACACACCTACTGCCTCCATCTTCCTCCTGGCCCTAATGTTTGAAACCCATGCTTCACACCCACATAAGTGTTGGTACCACTATACTCTTGTTACATTACCTCTTTCACCCACATAGGCCAATTTCTTTCCACAGATGACAACACACCTGTTATCCCTCATGTATTGTATGGTTCACCTTATGTTCCATAGATCTATAATGTATTGTATGGTTCACCTCATGTTGTTGCATAGACTTATCATGTACTGTATGGTTCACCTCAAATTCCATAGATCCATTATGTACTGTATGGTTCACCTCATGTTCCATAGACCAGGGCTACTCAACTACTGTGAGCAAAAGGTCCACTTGGACAAGTACCAATGTGTACAAAGGTCCAGATACATTTTTTACACACAATCATGAAAAGCAACAAATCCGAGTATAGGTCAGTGTACTAATCGCTTCTATGAACTTCATTTTCAGTCCTCGTCTTATAAAAATTTACAAAATATGAAGATAAATAGTGGGAAAAAATAATTTTTACCTTATATCGAACAAGTTTTGGATTTGTTTACTCAAATTGGCTTAAATGGAATTTTCAAACTGAATAATTAATATATATACTGATTAACAGAATGATAAATTTTAACATGTAATGATGAGCAAGACCAATGTTATCTGTGTATGACTGTAGGTAAGTTGTCTTTGTATGGTGTATGTGTGCTTATCTACTGTTTTTCTGTTATGCTAGTTTAGTGAGAGAAATGACAGTTGAGAACGCAGACTCGCAGCAGTAGGTGGACCCAAACATTGTGAGAATCTGGACTGCTAATCTGTGAAGCGTGGGAAAATTCACAGGGGATCCTTCCTTTGACCAAAATGTTTCTGGTGCACAATCATAGAGTTATCTTAGCGTCACATTCTCTTGGAAGTCGATGAGTTCCAGTTGAATTTTTGCAGCATCTACCCATTAGAAGATTTGTTTTGCTTCGACTGAGAATTCTGTGATATCCACCACCAGAAAGAGGTTTTGAACGAACACCAGCAACTGTTTTCCAAGAACAAAGTCATCAAAGTGTAACTTGAAATTTTTGATCAGCTTCTCATGAAATAGATGTATGAAGTATCTGTTTCATCATTACATTGCTCCAAAAGTCTGGGGAAATGTAAAAGTTGGCTCTGAACGTCATTAGCAAAAAGTTCCAATTTCCTTAGGAAAGCTTGAATTGTTGAGATTGTGTTGAAGATCGTATGTTTTTCTCCTTGCAGTTTAATGTTGAGATCGTTCAGATGTGACATTGTCTGCCAAAAATCCAACACACTCCATTTTTTTGTCATCTTGCAAAAAAATCAGAAAATGCCTTTGCTTTCACACTGTTTTGATCCTTGAAGAAAGTCTGTAACTCTTTCCTGATTGCCCAAAATTGCTCCAAAACCCTTCCCTTACTCAACCATCTCACATTGTTGTGCACAAGTAAATCATCATAGCATGCATCGACCTAAGTTAGAAAGCTTCGGAGTAGACTTGTTGTGCTGACGTTGATTGAAGTAAGTTTACTAGCTTGGTAATAGTGTCCATGAGGTTACCATACTCATCTTCAAGACTGGCACACAGTACTGATTGGTGGATAATGCAGTGATAAGTTATCATGTCAGGATTATCTTCCTTTAACCCTTTCAGGGTCTAGAGGCCAAATTTCAAAGTGCACACCAGGGTCCAAGAATTTTCAAAAAAAAAAAAAAAAAAATTTATTTTTTCTTATGAAATAGTAGAGAATCTTTTTCTGAAGGTAATAAAACAAAAAGTATGAAATTTGATGGAAAATTGACGAAATTATGCTCTTGCAAATTTTGATGTCAGCTATATTTACGAATCGGCGATTTTGCCAACTTTTACTCCCATTTTAGGCCAATTACATTATTCCAGTAGACCAAATTCTTAGCTATTTCACTAGTATTACTTTTATTCTATCAATTGAGCACAAGAAATCGCCAAGTCAACTGTTTCAACTACAAAATAAAGTGATCGGAAATTGGTAATTTGGCCAATTTAACACAAAGTTCAAAATATTCCAATTTCAAAATAGGGTCCAGAATAAACAATGTAGGTATTCCTGGCACTAAACTAACATTTCCTCTGTTCATTAGTTACGTTTTGAGGCTTTACAAATAAATTCCATTTAGATTTTTTATTCACATAATGAATTTTTATTCAAACCAAAAAATAAAAGATTTACTGTTATGCAATACTGTAATAATTGTATAAATATCATCACCATATTTGTGAATGTATATTAGACCCACCAGCTGACGTGTATTAGACATGTGAGGTCGTTTGTTTACTCTTGAATATCGGCAAAAATTTAACATTTCCACTATTTTGAGCTCAGTTTCAAGCCATTTCCAGTGCTAAAACCAATCAAAATCATCTCTATTTCTGTAATATGTCTTCCATTCTATCAAATGAGGCCAAGAAATCACAAATACAACTATAAAAAACATAGGAAAAAACACTGCAAAGTTGCTGTTTTAATAAAAAAACACGGTCTGTTTTTTTTCTCTCATTATGCACTGTGTGCTGCAGGGTTTGTTTTATGTGGTGCACACATACCACATTGATGTATTCTTTCATATCTAGGCCCAAATTTACCACTCACAGCTTATCAGAGTGAACTGAGCTCATGGCGTAGATCTACGGTTTGGACCCTGGACGTAAAGCCGTAGATCTACGGCACAGACCCTGAAAGGGTTAAACTTGCGACCAGTCCACACTCTTGATCAACCATGGCTGGAGCTCCATCTGTGGTCACTGAAATTTGACATCAATATATATCAATTCTAACATGCTTTTCAAGGATCCATATATCCTCTCATGTTCTTCCTTGAAGGTCGGTCACACTCAACAAGTCCTGGCAAAAAATTTTTTCTCTGCATCATAATATCTCACAAATACCATGAGTTGAGTATTATTGGTGCTTGTCTGTTGACTCATGTGAAGCCAGTGAAATACAAGGTGCTTTTTCAGTCCTAGATCAAGTTGCGACATAAGATGTTCTGCCAATAGTTCTGTTCTCCTTATTGATGTGGAATTAGATAATGGAATCTGCATTTTGTCTTTTATCTCTTTTTTTGGTTTATCTTCAAACAATGCATCAGCAGTTTCCAGCATATATTCTTTAACAATTTCTGCATCAGTGAAGGGTTTCTTGTGTTTTCCCAAGATCCAAGTTATTCTAAGTGAACATTGCACTGTTGTCTCCTGGGCTGTCCTTGTATTAACAACTATGATTGACCTCTCATACTGTGATTTTAGCTGATTTATTTTTTTGTTTCTCTCTCCAGTTCCTGGCTGATGCATCTTTTCAAATCCACTTGTGTTTAGTTTCATAATGTGTTTGATATTACTGGTGTTCACTAAGACAATTGTTTCACTACATATGAGACAAAGTGAGGTAGAACTGCTTATAGCAAGAATGAAGATGTAAATGTTATCTCGTCTTCCTTGAAGTAACAATTGTCATAATCAAACTTTCTTCTTTATGAACATCTTATGTCTACTTTAAAAAGTTATGACAGTAAAACAAATAATTTGATATGAAAATAAATATCTGGAGCATTAAAAGTCCCAACAACTAGAAGTAATATTTAGCCTGTAAAATAATAAGTATGAAAATATCAGTCAATTTAACAAAGACATGTTTGGTCAAGCAGTTGTTTTCTGTATTATGTAATGCATTTATTACTGAAATTTATCTGTATTTATTAAAACATGTTTAATATCCACTCAACATAAATTAGGAACAACCAGAATGAGGATAATTTTTAACTAATTTGATTAAACATTAATGTGAAGAATTTGATCACAATGATTCAATTCTAAATACCCCACCAACGTAATTTTTCATAAAAGAGGTTGACACACCAAATTAAAATCAAACTTGCTAAAAAGAAAATGAGAAAACCCAAAATCATACCTTGCACAAACACAAATGTACAACCTTTCCCAAAATTCCAAGTTGCACGGAGGTCGCCTCTCAGCACATATGTGGCTGAACTCTTTTTTCCAAAATGCCAGAAAAATCAACTTCATTGTACAAGTGATAATCACCATTGAATGGAAGAAAATATCACTATTTAGCCATGCTAGAATACTGTATTACATTCAGTGTATGTATTCCATTCAGATAGAATAATGTATTAATCTTGCTCTTGTGTACCACCTGATCCTGAACATGGTAACACCTGTTATTTAACTAGGCTTTCTCCTGAAGTCCATGCTCTAACTACAACACTCACAAGGTCTGGATTCAGACCTCACTCCTCCAGTTGAATAGCCCGGCCATAGACTTATGTACTGTATGGTTAACCTTATGTTCCATAGATCCATTGTGTACTGTATGGTTCACCTCGTGTTCATAGATCCATCACGTACTGCATGGTTCACCTCATGTTCCATAGATCCATCATGTACTAACATGTCATCTCCCATACATGTAAATACACTTGACTTACTCTCACAGTCTGGTATTAACCCTTAAACTGTCCAAATGTAGATCTACGTTCACGCGAGTCGCGCTCTGACCTTGATTTTCCCCATTTGAAAGCATGTAAAAAAAACGTAGATCTATGTTCGGAGCCTGCCGCACATCAACATATATCTACGTTTGGACAGTTTAAGGGTCAAGTAATATATTGACTTACTCTCACAATCTGGTATTAAGTCTATCATTGTCTAGTCTTCTCTTACCTTCATCACTTTGCTCTTTTCTATATTCATTTTTAATTTTCTTCCTTTACATACTCTCCCAAATTTCCCAACAACCTTTGTAATTATCTTGAGAATCTTGTCCCAAGAGCTTTGTCTCGTCATTAAAGAGCATCATTTATTCAAGTCGCTCTTGATAAAAGTACTTGTCTTGACATTACAATTCAAATAAACTTTATTATTCTTGTATGTAAATAGTCATGTGTGTTTGTAAGGTGGTTATTGTTGTTGTTTGTATAGTAATGAAGATGACATGGACAAAGAAGATAAGGAAGATGAGAAAGATGATGAGGATTCTAACCCGACGCCGCTGCCGTCTAGCCCGGCCGTCTCCACCTCCACCTCCAAGTCTGATGACGACAAGTTCGACGAGAAGGAAGACAAGGCAATGTCGGACAAGAAGTTGGTCCACTTCCCATCCACGTCCGACATTAACGGTCGACTCAGACGACTGGTGACATCTTACCAGCGCAACAACAGGAAGAATGACTTGCGTCACGACGCCAAAGTTAGGGTGAGTAGCATGTGCCTACGGCAGTGGGCCTACGGGCAGACTCACTTCACTAGGTTTGTAAGACAAGGTGAGGATCTTACAGTTGTCTGAGCTGTGATGTCAACAATACTACAACAATAGTTACTGACTGAGTGATGGCCATTGTGTTTCTTCTCTTGGGTGGCACTGCCTCGGTGGAAGACACCTGCTGTGTTGTTACCTCGCTGGCTGTCACCCACCAAGACCGGGTCAGCCAAAAATGAAGACTCATTCACCATCATTCATTGAATTGCCAGTCCCAAGGTGGTAGAGGTGAGACACCACCACCACCACCACCACCTACCAGCCCCCTAGGTGAGGCACCACCACCACCACCTACCAGCCCCCTAGGTGAGGCACCACCACCACTTGCCAGCCCCCTAGGTGAGGCACCACCACCACTTGCCAGCCCCCTAGGTGAGGCACCACCACCACCTACCAGCCCCCAGTGGCACACCACTTGCAGCCCCCTAGGTGAGGCACCGCCACCACTTGCTGGCCCCTTCTTAGGGTAGGACGCCCACTTGCAGCCCCTAGGATAGGCACACACCATTGCCACCCCCTATAGGACATTACACCTGGCCAGTGGTTATGACTCACCACCTGGCTGGCCAGGTGTGATGCTCAGGGGGAGGCTTGCCGGATATAATAATCCGAGAACGAGAGTTACGCAAGACAGACTACAACCAGCGGCGGTGGTCCAACCGTGAGCAAGCCGAGTTCTACCGCACCATCTCTACCTTTGGTGTAGAGTATATTAGGTCAGTCTTACTTCACTCGTCTACCTTCACTATAATAATAATATTAACATTTAACTGTTATTAAAGTGTAAATGTTGTGTACAGTAAGGCCCCACTTATATGGCAGGTTAGGTTCCAGGCTACCGCCGTAAAGCGGAAATCGCCGCAAAGTGGAACACCCTTTTTACCTACTTATAAATGCATATAAATACTAGATAACAAGTTTACACTAACATGTATTAAGTTAGCAATAGAGATAGGCATTAAAAAACAGTAAAAAGTAAAATACAGTGGTACCTTGACTTATGAGTTTAATTTGTTCCATGACCGAGCTCGTAACTATTTGCTCATATATCAAATCAATTTTCCTCATTGAAATTAATTGAAATGCACTTAATCCACCCAACCAGCCGGCCTGCCAAACATGTATTACACATGTTCCAGAATTGTTTCTCTTTACTTAGGGTATACATTATAGAACATTCTGGCAGGATAGACACTACCAGTGGTATCAAAATTGAAAGGATGTTACACATTGGTTATTATTTATTTATTATTATCACACTGGCCAATTCCCACCAAGGCAGGGTGGCCCGAAAAAGAAAAACTTTCACCATCATTCACTCCATCACTGTCTTGCCAGAAGGGTGCTTTACACTACAGTTTTTAAACTGCAACATTAACACCCCTCTTTCAGAATGCAGGCACTGTACTTCCCATCTCCAGGACTCGAGTCCGGCCTGCCGGTTTCCCTGAACCCCTTCATAAATGTTACTTTGCTCACACTCCAACAGCACGTCAAGTATTAAAAACCATTTGTCTCCATTCACTCCTATCAAACACGCTCACGCATGCCTGCTGGAAGTCCAAGCCCCTCGCACACAAAACCTCCTTTACCCCCTCCCTCCAACCTTTCCTAGGCCGACCCCTACCCCGCCTTCCTTCCACTACAGACTGATACACTCTTGAAGTCATTCTGTTTTGCTCCATTTTCTCTACATGTCCGAACCACCTCAACAACCCTTCCTCAGCCCTCTGGACAACAGTTTTGGTAATCCCGCACCTCCTCCTAACTTTCAAACTACGAATTCTCTGCATTATATTCACACCACACATTGCCCTCAGACATGACATCTCCACTGCCTCCAGCCTTCTCCTCGCTGCAACATTCATCACCCATGCTTCACACCCATATAAGAGCGTTGGTAAAACTATACTCTCATACATTCCCCTCTTTGCCTCCAAGGACAAAGTTCTTTGTCTCCACAGACTCCTAAGTGCACCACTCACCCTTTTCCCCTCATCAATTCTATGATTCACCTCATCTTTCATAGACCCATCTGCTGACACGTCCACTCCCAAATATCTGAATACATTCACCTCCTCCATACTCTCTCCTTCCAATCTGATATACAATCTTTCATCACCTAATCTTTTTGTTATCCTCATAACCTTACTCTTTCCTGTATTCACTTTTAATTTTCTTCTTTTGCACACCCTACCAAATTCATCCACCAATCTCTGCAACTTCTCTTCAGAATCGCCCAAGAGCACAGTGTCATCAGCAAAGAGCAACTGTGACAACTCCCACTTTGTGTGATTCTTTATCTTTTTAACTCCATGCCTCTTGCCAAGACCCTCGCATTTACTTCTCTTACAACCCCATCTATAAATATATTAAACAACCACGGTGACATCACACATCCTTGTCTAAGGCCTACTTTTACTGGGAAATAATTTCCCTCTTTCCTACATACTCTAACTTGAGCCTCACTATCCTCGTAAAAACTCTTCACTGCTTTCAGTAACCTACCTCCTACACCATACATCTGCAACATCTGCCACATTGCCCCCTATCCACCCTGTCATATGCCGTTTCCAAATCCATAAATGCCACAAAGACCTCTTTAGCCTTATCTAAATACTGTTCACTTATATGTTTCACTGTAAACACCTGGTCCACACACCCCCTACCTTTCCTAAAGCCTCCTTGTTCATCTGCTATCCTATTCTCTGTCTTACTCTTAATTCTTTCAATAATAACTCTACCATACACTTTAGCAGGTATACTCAACACACTTCTCCCCCTATAATTTTTGCACTCTCTTTTGTCCCCTTTGCCTTTATACAAAGGAACTTTGCATGCTCTCTGCCAATCCCTAGGTACGTTATTTATTATGGAGATTTTAGATATTTCCTCTCCTGTGAGTGGCGACATATCTGAAGCTTGCTCGTAACTCGGATTTTGGCTCACAACTCAAAGCAAAAAATTGATAGAGCGACAGCTCATAACTCTGAAAACTCATAAATTGGGGCACTCGTAAGTCAAGATACCACTGTACACGTTAGTACACTCATTACTTACCTTAAAATATTTGTAGTCTTAACCCTTTCAGGGTCCGTCCCGTAGATCTACGGCTTTGCGTTCAGTGTCCAAACCGTAGATCTACGTCATGAGCTCAGCTCACTCTGATAAACTGTGAGTGGTACACTTGGGCCTAGATATGAGAGAATACATCGATGTGGTATGTGTGCACCACATAAAACAAATCCTGCAGCACACTGTGTATAATGAGAGAAAAAAAACTGAAACCAAGATTTTCGATTAAAACAGCAACTTTGCAGTGTTTTTTTCGTATGTTTTTTATAGTTGTATTTGCAATTTCTTGGTCTCATTTGATAGAATGGAAGACATATTACAGAAATAGAGATGATTTTGATTGGTTTTAGCACCGGAAATGGCTTGAAACTGAGCTCAAAATAGCAGAAATGTTAATTTTTTGTTGATGTACAAGAGTAAACAAACGACCTCACACGTCTAATACACGCCAGCTGGTGGATCTAATACACATTCACAAATGTGGTGATGATATTTATACAATTATTACAATATTGCATAACAGTAAATCTTCTATTTTTTGGTGTGAATAAAAATTCTTTATGTAAATAAAAAATAAAAATGGGATTTATTTGTAAAGCCTCAAAATGTAACTAATGTACCGAGGAAATGTTAGTTTAGTGCCAGGAATGCCTACATTGTTTATTCTGGGTGCTATTTTGAAATTGGAATATTTTGAACTTTGTGTTAAATTGGCCAAATTACCAATTTCCGATCACTTTATTTTGTAGTTGAAACAGTTGACTTGGCGATTTCTTGTGCTCAATTGATAGAATAGAAGTAATACTAGTAAAATAGCTAAGAATTTGGTCGACTGGAATGATGTAATTGGCCTAAAATGGAAGTCAAAGTCGGCAAAATCGCCGATTCGTAAATATCGCTGAAACATCAAAATTCGCGAGAGCATAATTTCGTCAATTTTCCATCAAATTTCGTACTTTTTGTTTTATTACCTTCGCAAAAAGATTCTCCACCATTTCATAAGAAAAAATAACGAATTTTTTTTTGGAAAATTCTTGGACACTGGGGCACCACTTCAGATTTGGGCCTTGGACCCTGAAAGGGTTAATGCAGGCTGAGATGAGTAGTATTTATTGTTAGAAATCAAGTGTGGTATGTATGGTAGCCAGCCAGGCTACCATACCAGGCTACCCCACCCACACATATGACATTTAAAGCGTCCCAGAGCGATAAAATGCATATACAGTTCACTTGTTACTTTTTTTTGTTTTTCTCAACAACCCGGCCATATCCCGTCAAGGCAGGGTGGCCCAAAAAGAAAAACGAAAGTTTTTCTTTTTAAATTTAGTAATTTATACGGGAGAAGGGGTTACTAGCCCCTTGCTCCCGGCATTTTAGTCGCCTCTTACAACACGCATGGCTTACGGAGGAAGAATTCTGTTCCGCTTCCCCATGGAGATAAGAGGAAATAAACAAGAACAAGAACTAGGAAGAAAATAGAAGAAAACCCAGAGGGGTGTGTATATATATGCTTGTATATGTATGTGTAATGTGACCTAAGTGTAAGTAGAAGTAGCAAGACATACTTAAAATCTTGCATGTTTATGAGACAGAAAAAAAAAAAGACACCAGCAATCCACTCATTACTTATCTTAAAATATTTGTAGTTTTAACGTAGGGTCAGAGGTGAGTAAATGAGATAAAACGAATAAATGAGAAAGAGAATGAGTACATGAGAGAGGACTGGTGCGAAGTTATGTAAACAAATTGGGCGTATGCGAGTTTTGTAGACAAACCAGGCGTACTTGTCTGGTTTGTGTGCAAGTTACATTGTATACAAATTGTCTCCATATTGATACAGTAGAATAAATAAAGAGGAACACTCCCATCCTCATGTAACACCATTTTTAGAAGAAATGACACTCTGAGTGAAGGCATATGAAAGGAATAATTTTCCACAGTTACCCCCAGTAATATTATAGTACACCTTCTCACTTAGCGACAGAGTTCTTTTCCTAAGACTAGGTTGTTAAACGAATTTGTCGCTAAGTGAGGAGCATACTACAGTGGTACCTTGAGTTTTGAACAGCTCCCATGTAAGTGTATTTTTGAGGGTCTGAAACGGACTAATCTAATTTACATTATTCCTCATGGGAACAAATTCGTTTGGTATCGGTACTCAACAGCCTTCTGGAATGAATTAAGTTCATAACTTAAGGTACCACTGTACAGTGGACCCTCAAGTTTAGAACTTATATTGTTCCAGATGGCTGTTCAAGTGCTGTTACCAAATGAATTTCTTCTCATCAGGAATAATATAAATTAGATTAATCTGTTTCAGACCCCCAAAAATACACTTATAAAAGCACTTACAAAAATACACTTATACAATAGGTCAAGTTGGGGCAGTTGTAAACTTGAGGGTCCATGTATAATGGTAGTGGTTTGTGTCAACCATCTTTGATATTGTTTTAATGTCACCTTTGCACCATTTATAATATTTATGGTATATTTCTAAATGTTCATACAGTAGTGTACTCTGTATTGAAAAAACATAATAGCGGAAATTAGCTCTAATATACATTATTTAGGTATAAATACTGGTCAGAGAGCCCATCTTAAGTCCGAGGCCTAGGTAAACGAGTATGTCGCTAAGTGAGGA